CTGCTGCTGCCGCCGCTGCTGCTGGTTTTGTTGTTGTCGTTGGTGGGGGTGGTGGCGGCGGTGGTGCTGCCGCTGCAGTAGCCGTATCAGTAGAGGTGGTGGTAGTAGCAGACGAAGCAGAAGAATCGGGATTAGGCGTAGCCGCAGTACCTAGTAGTGCTTTGTTTCACTATTGCTGTTGCCGGAGCATGTGCCGCCACTGTTGGACACATGACGAGTCTTTTGTCTTATTATATGCATAATTACTAGGGATTTGCGGCTGCTGATGTTGGGGGCAATGACTACATCGACGATGATGAAGATGACGATGGCGACGGTGGCGGCGACAATTCTTGCTGGTGCAACAGTTCTTGCCGGTGCAACTTTGCGAATCTTCGGGATTCATCTCCTCCTGGATGCACTCCAAATGCTTCGTGGCATGGTACTGCTGCGCGCCATCATGCAAGTAGCAGTACTTTCCTCGGGTCAAGGTTTACAGAACAGGGTTTAGGGTTGAAAAGGTGCAGGACTGGAGGATCGTGAGCCGATGCGGTGCGTAAATCGGCCACAGCGACTCTGCATCATTTCGGGGCTGCAAAACCTGAAGCCAGCCGCGACAGCCTCAATAATTGAAACCCATGGGCATCGACGCAAAACCTGGGTAAGAATGGACGAATACTGAAACCTTCAAGGAAAGCTGCGGTAGGGGGGGGGGATTCGGATCCTGTCGTCAAATCAAGTATTCAGAAACTCCCCACATAATCACGAAACCTACGAAGGAATACTCGGCGAATACCGCCTACAGTATGGCCCGGATTTCGAACGCGGGAACCGGAAGACTGAAAGCATTCGTTAAAAGCCCAAACCTTCAAGTCCTAAAGCCCCAGAAGTGTGCAGAAGTTTGACCCAGCATCCCGTCAGCTCGCGGGCGCTTTGACGAATTTTCTCGCCAGCGTTCCTCGAGCTTCGGCAACTTCGAAGCTTTGGGAGGGTTCAGAAACCGTACACTCCTATCCGATCCGATCGCCGACTCACGAAGTGGGAGTCGGAAAGGAGATCCCGATGACCACCAAAACTCCCTACCCTAAACCCCAAACCCTAAACCCGAAACCCTAAACCCCTAAGCCGGAAGCTCCTAAAACCCCAAACCCCCAAAGTCGCTGACCTCCCAAAACCCTAACCCGAAACCTAAACCCCGAGCCCCAAACAACACACACCCGAAAGCACCAAAGCCCAATGAACCACCAAAAACGGTTTAGGTTAGGGTTTAGTTTAGGGTTTAGGGTTTAGGTTTAGGGTTTAGGAACCCTAAACCCTAAAAGCGCTAAGTCCTAAAACCGAGTCACGAGGAGGAGAGCAGGTCCAGCCAGGGTATGGTCGCTGGTTGGTCATGGCCGGTCTGCGGGTGCCAGGCTGTTCAGAGGGCTCAGGGCTTAGGGGTTTAGGGTTTAGCACAGTACTGGGGATCGTCAGCCAGCCATCAGAAAGCAGGAAATAGTTGAAGTAGGCAAAACAAAGGAATCATGGATACGAAAAAACAGGAACGAAATTACACAATCGGGAAAACAGGAAATATAGGAAACAAAGAGGACGGCAAATAAGAGCAACACACAGGCATGAGCAGCAACATCCATGGAACAATCACAACAGCAGCAATACCACGACAAGTCGTATAATTAGCCCAAAACTGCTCGAACCAGAAGGGAAATTCACTCACAACGTACACACACTCGTACAGGTGCTTGACTAGATATTCAACGCAAACACAGTCAGCTGGTAAGCAAAAGAAGGCACTGGAATCTGTAGACGGAGATCTTGACCACTGACTGCTGAAACCATGACGGCGTATCCCGAACACGCGGACAACACGGTAGACGGGACAACGGCATGATATCTAGCAATGCTCTGCTCAATGCAGAGAGGATGTGTGCAGGTCTCACATGCATGGCAAATTTAAGAGTCTACCTTAAGAACCCAAAACCTACTTTTTGGTAGGGTCCCTATCAATCCCATATTAGGGTTTATAATAAGAACCTACAAAAAGTGGGTTTTGGGTTCTTAAGGTAGGAGCATGTGGGAGCAATTTTGGGTTTCCTATTGGGCGGGCTCTGGACCAAAGTGGTTCCTGCCACGACGGCTCCGACGCCGGAGGCCACAGGCGGGTGGGGCAGCGGCCTCCTATTTTTCCCTGTCTATCAAAAATACGTTTTCGTGCTTTTTCCTGGGGAAAAGAAGGCAAAATGGTGAACTATAGTACAAAAAACAGCTGATTTTTGCAGTCTGCATCCCTCACAGACTCCCCCCCAAAAACTGTCCGCTGCGGTAGGTGGTGGACGGGAAGGGGGGAGAATGTATTCCTTCCTTCAACGGTGAGGTAAGGTTGCTCTTTGCTTAATCGAATGCAGCCTGCCCCTCCCCTTCCCCTCCCCACCCCCTCCCCAAAGCTCCACCCATCCCCCTTTGCGCAGAGCTTTTAGCTCGCTTTGGGCCACACCACCCAAAAGGTTTTTTCATCCTATCTAAACCTAGGTTTTTCCTTTTTTGAATCGTATTCCGAAATCTGAGCCTTCCGAAATCCGATTCCAAGCCGTTTTTTCCCTACGCTAAATAATTGTCTGAACTCCTCGAGGCTGGCCATGAGCTTTTTGCTGGCTTAAGGTGTAGGGTTTAGGGTTTAGGGTTTTAGGGTTTAGGGTTCTTTGTGTACCAGGCTCTGAATACCAGAGCCGGCAATGTCTCGAAAGGGCGAAAGGTACGTCTCTAACACGACGTCTCCAAGCACTTTCCTGCGGGAAAAGGAAGGTGTACCGAACACAAAGCAACGAATTATTGTTATTATTGTTATTATAACTATGATTATTATCATATGGTTATGATTATCAGTAATATTATTGTTATTTTCTCATGTAGCACCATCTCCCACCTCTGTGGAGAAGTCGGATTCCGTACCCGACAGGGTCTGCTCCTCCTCATCCGTGGGGATCCGACTGTGCCCGCGCGCGCTGGCCCCGCCCATGCTGACTCTTTGATTGTGAGCTGCGCTAATACAGAGGACTGAACAATAAGATGCCTTCTATGCCCCTAAATCCTAAACCCGAAACCCTAAACCGTGCCTTATGCCTCCTTATCATTATTATTGTTCTTGCTATACAAAAACGCAAATATTACGCCATCTGTATGCTACAATATGAATAAGCCCTCAGTCGAACACTTGCGGGCCCTGTAGTAATGTTTTGCCTCGGGGTCAGCACTTTCATGCCTCTGGAGCTAAGATCAGAGTCTGCGGGAGTCTTTGCGCAACGAGCCTCCTCCGTGATCTTGTGCGTTTACGATTTGCAGGGTTTACGGAAATAGAGCTTACGTAGGTTTGACACGATTGATCCTCAACATGCGGGTCTTGCAAATCCTGGCCAAAAGCAGCAGCAGCACGGTTGAAAGTACACCTCACCCTCAAATTCTAAGGCACCACATCCGAACTCCTTAAAGCACTACAGCTTGCAACAACTCTCCAAAGCAAGCCACCAGGACCCCAAACTGCCCGGAGACACCAAGCCACCGACCTCACATCCAAAACTTAACACGACACCCTGTGGTAAGCTCCGTTTCGAAACCCAACTGTAAAATCGAAACCCAAAGCCCTAATCCAAGTTCCTCAATTCTTGCCTTAAAGGGCCCATGATTATGAAAATAGAAGTGTTCAACCGAAAACCTACAAGCTGAGCGCCGGTTTCTGCCCGTGTGCCACCAACAACCGGCCATCGCCGGAGAAAGCACCGGGATAAGGCTGCAGGTCATCCCATCGTGTCAGGAATATGGAAGGTTCTCTAAATCAGGGTTCCTCTCTTCTATCATTGTGACATGCTTGTTTTGGATCTGTTGGAGATTCAAAACAAGACCACGAACCCTGAACTCTGAAATACTGGGTTCTTGCTAAGGGATTTAATTTAAGTTACCATAATAAGGAAACCAGATTATTTACTATAGATCCCCATTATGGTAACTTAAATTAAATCCCTTAACAAGAACCCAGAATAACACTTCGTTCAGCGAGCATTCGGAAGCATGCGGGGAAAGAAACTGCTCTGTCGTTGTGGGTTCTGACATCTATGTCCCTTTCCTTGTCTTCCTCGTCTTACTTGTATTAGGGTTTAGGGTTTAGGGTTTAGGGTTTAGGGTCTGTATCTATTCTTACAGCTTGTGGTGTTTTTGGGTTTATGAGGGGGTGAAGTGGCGGTATTTCACGCAGCCGATACGATTGCCTGCGGTTTGAACTAAGTCTCACTGGCCCGTTGCTACGTTGCTACTTCTAACTATACTGAACTTCGAATAATTTTAGCTGCTTCTTAGGGTTTATAGTAGCCAAAGATTGCAAATTATTTCTAAGTACCCCTACGCTAAGCCCAATCGATGTGAAGTCAGACGATGGGATGTCTTGCAGCCGGAAACCAGGAGAGCCCATCACTCTGGTGCAGGTCCGACCTTTGTGGTTGGGTTTAGGGTTTAGGGTTTAGGGTTTTTAGGGTTTAGGGTTTAGGGTTTAGGGTTCAGGGTTTAGAGTTTAGGGTTTAGGGTTTAGGGTTGGACTTGTTCGAGAGAGGAACCGAAGAGACAGTTCGGGGTTCACTGTCCCGGAAGCTTAGGCTCAAAGGTGCTGCAAGGGCTCAGCGACATCGCAAAACGCCGAGCCACACTGAATCTACTGGCCCTGAGCCCTAAGCCTTAAACCCTAAACCGCCCTAAACTCTAAACCCCTAAACCCTAAACCCCTAAACCCTAAACCCTAAAACCCTAAAACCCCTAAAACCCTAAACCCACTGGAGCCTAACGGTTCCATCTCCTCCTCCAGGGTCGGCCTGCGGCTCAAAAAGAGACCCCTGTAAACCCTGTCGAATGCTAAACAAACAAACAAGCACACACACAGGGTTTAGGGTTTAGGGTTTAGAGTTTAGGGTTTAGGGTTTAGGGCTTAGGGTTTAGGGTTTAGGGCTTAGGGTTTAGGGTTCATGTCATGTAGAAGCCCTATATTAACCCAAGAAGCAGCTCCTAAACCTAAGCTCAAGGCCGCGTGGGTGTCTCAACCACGAGGGGAAAATAGAAGGCCACGCTCAGATCCTTTGGGTAGTTGAGGATCTCAAGATCTCAGAAATCCAACCAAGCACCCAAGCCTAGCATTTGAAACCTCGCCGAAGGCACTTGCCCCGTACTTGGAGGTTCATGGGTAGTTATAAATGGGGTTATAAAGTAGGGTAACTATGGTTATAACCCATATTAGGGGACTTATAACCATACACAAAAACAACCCCCAAGTAGAGCTCAAATCCCACCAGGTGCCAGGCCCTTTTGGGTGGACCTCCGCCCCCGAGGGTCCCCTCATCGAGCTCCTGCCTCTTGGCCGATTTCGGGGCTCAGGGTTTAGGGCTCTGACCACGGAACCCAAAACCCCGAAGGGACTGCATGCTGCAGGTAGGAGCCTGAATATTTTGGCCAGGGGTTTGCCTATACATGGCCCTTACGCTTTACAAGTAGCCTTAGGTGTTTAGAGGGATAGACGGATTGGGGATGCTTAATTGCGCCCTCTAGGATGTGAGGCCTCCATTCGAAAACAACATCGGGAAACTCGGCACCCACCCAAAACGCAGAATCACATGGAAGCTCCTATGTTCCATGCGTCATCCGTCTCCGGGAAAGAGGGGGAGGTTGTGGGCTTTCTGGTACCGTGTTATGTTCAAGCTGCGCTAAAGCGGAAGACGGTAAGAGGAGAAACAGGAAGCAGCATGGAAGCGAAACCGACGATGGAACCTTCAATGGAAGCCTGAACGGAACTGAACAACAACCACGCCGAACATGGAATAGCATGGAGCACGGAAGGCCCAGAACGGGAAAACAAGGAACCACAAACGAAAGATGAATCCCTAAACCCTAATCCCCTAAACCCTGAACCTATCATGTCTTGTTCCTGATGCGGACTTTGCAAGAAGAGGCCTGGCTTTGAGGGCGGTCTTTTCTGCTTAGGGTTTTTTGTGCATTCTGCACAAGCTTAGCAAAGACATGACACTTTGTACCCCCTAGAAACCTCCAATGCATCTGAAACCCAAAACCAAAAACTCAAAAACCTCTCCACTTTCGCACGCTCAACCCCATCGGCGGTCCTCATTCCTCATTTAGGAAAGGCCATGGGGTCGTTGGTGGCGACCCCACCTATCTTCTCGACGACCTGATCCCAGCTGGTTGGGTTTAGGGTTTAGGGTTTCGGGTGTCCTTCGCATGGCTAACTTCTACATTCTACATTGCTAACCGGTAGGCTTGCATGCTAGAATTGCGGGATGCAAGTCTTCGGCAAAACAACTAAATTTCTTATATCGTGCATTGTTAAGCAAGGACACCCCAAACGCCAGCAAA